GATGTAAAAGATAAGGTTAGAAGGGATGAAAATTTTAGTAGGAGCTAAAATTTTTTCTCAAATTTTGAACTTTTCTTGGTTTTACATAGACTTTTTTCTGATATTTTAAAATGGATTTATTTGGAATTTTCAGTTTTTTTTATAATTTTTTCTGATGTCTTTTAAAAGAATTCTCAGGTTTCGGATTGTTGTGGTTTTTTATATATATATAATCTGATATCTTTTTCTCAAGTTTTGGAATTTTTTATTTTTTACATATTTTTTTTCTGATACCTCAGAGAGAAATTTTTGAGAGTTTTCTGTTTTTTTTAGATTAAGATGTTTTCTGATATCTTTTGCTCAAATCTTGGAATTTTCTGTTTTTTACATAATTTCTTTCCTGATAACTCAAAAAAATGATTTGAGAACTTTCTGTTTTTTTTATCTATATATGTTTTCTGATATCTTTTTCTCAAATTTTGGAATAAAGAGCATATAAGTTTTTATTACAAAGATAAAAGTCTCCTGACAAATTATATCCCGGGGAAAAAACAAAGGATTAAACAGGATGTAAAAGATAAGGTTAGAAGGGATGAAAATTTTAGTAGGAGCTAAAATTTTTTCTCAAATTTTGAACTTTTCTTGGTTTTACATAGACTTTTTTCTGATATTTTAAAATGGATTTATTTGGAATTTTCAGTTTTTTTTATAATTTTTTCTGATGTCTTTGAAAAAATTTTCAGGTTTTGGATTATTCTGGTTTTTATTTATATATAATCTGATATCTTTTTCTCAAATCTTGAAATTTTCTGTTTTTTTCATATATTTTTTTTGATACTTCAAAAACAATTATTTGAGAATTTTTTGTTTTTTATATATACATGTTTTCTGATATCTTTTTCTCAAAAGTGGGAATTTTTTATTTTAATAATTTTTTTTTTCTGATATCTTTGAGATAAATTACTTCAAGTGAAAAAAAGTTATCTGATAATAATTTATTCCCCCTCAGCGATTTCATAAAGTTATCCTCTTTAATAACAATTGACGAAATTGTCCCCAATGATTCCGGTCATATACCCCTAAAAATCAACTCAAGTGAAAAAATTAATCTGATAAGATATTTATTACGACCCCGAAAAAAAAAAGATTAGGCTAATTGAGTAACATAGTCACGCGACCTTGACAGGTTGATCTTTCTCCGAAAACAGGCATGACCTCTTGTTGCGCTATACTACTGCTACATCCAGACATTTTGTTCGAGATAGAAGTGTATGCATACATTTCAGGATGGCATAAGCAACACATAAGGGTGTAATCAATCTAACCAACAGGCTTAACAACTGGCTTGCAAATACGTAGACGTAAAATCAAAAATTTTCCTTCATTCTTAGTTAACAAAGACCAGAAAAACAAAAAACGCCTTTATTCCTCACCATATATCAGCCAAATTACCGACATCATTGGATCTTACCCAGCTCAACTACTAACCAAGGAGTTGAGCAGCATCCTATGGGGCGACTAGTTTTCGGTGCTAAATGCTTGTCCTCAATAGAGTACTTAATGCTCTTTCAAACAGGAAACGACTTTTGCATCAAAAATCTAATGTACAGAGACGTAAACAACCCAGTTTCTACCTAAATGACTTTTTTCATTTTTTCAACAAACTTTATGAAACACAACAGACAAAAAAATCTTAGGAACTGGCTTTCAGAGACGAAGGGCTTAATTGTTTTACGTTTTATCGAGTACTACAAACATGCTTGACTTGCTCAAGGATCCAAAATATAAAACAAAGAATACAAAGCGTTATAAAACCTGAAACAAGACTGCTCGTATAACAGAGCAAAGCCCTGAATGTTCCCATTGTCCCTTATTTCTTATCGAATAGTTTTTGGGAAAATAAAATTTTGAACACCTATAAGTTTTGGACAATATCAAAGTTTGAAATGTTGAGTCGTATTTCTTTTTGATATGTTGATATCTTTTTCTCAAGTTTTGGAATTTTTTATTTTTTACATATTTTTTTTCTGATACCTCAGAGAGAAATTTTTGAGAGTTTTCTGTTTTTTTTAGATTAAGATGTTTTCTGATATCTTTTGCTCAAATTTTGGAATTTTCTATTTTTTACATCTATTTTTTCTGATACTTCAAAAAAATTGTTTGAGAATTTTCTGTTTTTTTATCTATACATGTTTTCTGATATCCTCTTCTCAAATTTTGGAATAAAGAGTATATAATTTTTTATTACAAAGATAAAAGTCTTTTGACAAATTATATCCTGGGGGAAAACAAAGGATTAAACAGGATGTAAAAGATAAGGTTAGAAGGGATGAAAATTTTAGTAGGAGCTAAAATTTTTTCTCAAATTTTGAACTTTTCTTGGTTTTACATAGACTTTTTTATGATATTTTAAAATGGATTTATTTGGAATTTTCAGTTTTTTTTATAATTTTTTCTGATGTCTTTCAAAAAATTTTCAGGTTTTGGATTATTCTGGTTTTTATTTATATATAATCTGATATCTTTTTCTCAAATCTTGGAATTTTCTGTTTTTTACATAATTTCTTTCCTGATAACTCAAAAAAATGATTTGAGAACTTTCTGTTTTTTTTATCTATATATGTTTTCTGATATCTTTTTCTCAAATTTTGGAATAAAGAGCATATAAGTTTTTATTACAAAGATAAAAGTCTCCTGACAAATTATATCCCGGGGAAAAAACAAAGGATTAAACAGGATGTAAAAGATAAGGTTAGAAGGGATGAAAATTTTAGTAGGAGCTAAAATTTTTTCTCAAATTTTGAACTTTTCTTGGTTTTACATAGACTTTTTTCTGATATTTTAAAATGGATTTATTTGGAATTTTCAGTTTTTTTTATAATTTTTTCTGATGTCTTTGAAAAAATTTTCAGGTTTTGGATTATTCTGGTTTTTATTTATATATAATCTGATATCTTTTTCTCAAATCTTGAAATTTTCTGTTTTTTTCATATATTTTTTTTGATACTTCAAAAACAATTATTTGAGAATTTTTTGTTTTTTATATATACATGTTTTCTGATATCTTTTTCTCAAAAGTGGGAATTTTTTATTTTAATAATTTTTTTTTTCTGATATCTTTGAGATAAATTACTTCAAGTGAAAAAAAGTTATCTGATAATAATTTATTCCCCCTCAGCGATTTCATAAAGTTATCCTCTTTAATTACAATTGACGAAATTGTCCCCAATGATTCCGGTCATATACCCCTAAAAATCAACTCAAGTGAAAAAATTAATCTGATAAGATATTTATTACGACCCCCGAAAAAAAAAGATTAGGCTAATTGAGTAACATAGTCACGCGACCTTGACAGGTTGACCTTTCTCCGAAAACAGGCATGACCTCTTGTTGCGCTATACTACTTGTAGCGTAGAGCGTGAGATCGAGCCGTGAGAGTCAGCGAGCCGTGAGAGTCAGCGAGCCGTGAGAGTCAGCGAGCCGTGAGAGTCAGCGAGCCGTGAGAGTCAGCGAGCCGTGAGAGTCAGCGAGCTTGCGAAAACGTAGACGCAGCACCAAAGATTATTCGCGCTCATTTGCTCACAAAAGCTTGAGCTCGAGTTCCCTTATTCGAGCGCAAGTCTAGTATCCAGTTATTTATCTCAAAAAGATTAACAAAATTGAGCTGAAAGGGTAAAAAATAAGCACAAATTTGAGCTGGAAGGGTCGATAAGTGCAGTCAATCTTATGTTCTCTATTAAACGCTGATGCAATAAACTTAGCGTTATCACACCTCTAAACAGAATTGTCTATTGCTTTGGTATATTGTATTTAAATTTGAGTCGTATAAGGCAACAAGCACTTTTGTGCGGATTTTCGAAAAAATTTCGGAAGTTTTGTCGACTTTTTTAGGTCGACCAAATTGAATGTCCCAAGCTCTCCCAAAGCAGTAAACAGAGCCAGCTTTGGCCAAAATTTCTGCGCCGCATCAAAACTTTTGAAAAAACAGTCCATAAAAATTCGTTTTTCGGCCCTTTTTCGATAATTTTGACCAAAAATTTGCGTGTTTTCTGTGCGCGCTCCGCCCTCAAATTATATTTTCAGGGGAATGAAAATTTTGTTTATTTTGTATATTTAGTATATTTTGGCGCCGAATGAAAACCCCCCAATATTCTGAATGCTATTTAAGTCTTCTTAAATAATTTCTGGTTAAAACTTTTTTTTGATAATTTATAAATATCGAATTAACAAGATAAAATATTCAGTGTGTGAGTTCGTAGTTTGTGATGCAGTGCTGACTCAATTTTTAAAACTTGTCTCTCCCAAATTGGGTTGATTTATGCGAAAACAGATGGAATCAAAACCCGCTTACAGTTATAGCGTAAATATTTTGGTGCCCAAAAAACCAATCAAAATCGGCTATTTAAGTCAATTGAAAATTCAGTCAAAACTACTGGTAGTAAAAAACCTTAATCAAAATGAGATTCTCTTATGTAGCCCAACACAGTTAGAAGAGGTTTCTTCAAATTTGTATTCAAAATTTTTTCTTCTTTTGATAGTCAAACGAGGTACCAAATCTTTTTTAGTCTTCAGTCAAACCAATTTGTGAAAAACGCGCGTTTCGAAGTTCAAATCTCATTCGATTTGTTCGGATAATATAAATCTACGCTGCACGATTTCAATCTTTAAAACGTTACACTTATTGTTCATAGCTCCTCGAGTCGAAATTCAGAGCGAAGATTGAAGATCTTTTCAAGTTGTTTCGACTTCTGGTTCGATTGATAGCTGTTTTGGCTTCTGGGGACCCAATTTAATTCTCCAAACATCCAAAAAAAATCGAGTGAATCAAAAAAACCGTTTTCAAAGGTTCAATAATCTTCAATATTTTAGCTGATAAATTTTCACCCTACCCTTCGCTTTGCCCAAACAAAAGGCTATAGAAACATTCTGACAGAAAAATTTTCTCCTTTTTCAATCAAACAACCGTGATATGAACATTGCAGTTTCATGCACAGTAAATTACTATATGATTGCGTATTTAGGAAACACATATGCGGAACGAGTATTTGTTCCATCTCGCCGCGAGTTCCGAACGAGGACAATATTAAAGTGGAATTTCGAACCGATCACCAGGAAAGAAAAACGGTTGTGAAAAGTTGGTTTCAAATACAAAATGAGTCAGATTCGACTGCTATCATTGTATTTTGCACGAAAAACGGCTTGGTGAGTTCTACTCCAACGCGGCAAAATCACAGCATCCTTGAAACAATCGAATTTGATACGAAACAAATTTTCACCAACGAACCGCTTGATGATTATCGAAATCTTTTGTTTTCGGGGTGTGAATTTGACCATGTTTTGATCATTTTTGAATGCGATACTAGCATACATGACGATCAAAAAGATATTTCGGATAGTATTTCAACTCAGGGACAAACTTTTGGACAAAATCTTCTGATTGCTACAACACGTGCCAGGAAGACACTTACCATTTTGGTGGCCAATGAAGAGCAGAAGCGGCAACTCGACATAATCAGGGAAGACGATCAACAACTGCTTGTTGCCCAGGTGATTGGCAACGAAGAAAAAGAGAAAGCAATTCTGAAGGAAAAGCTCAAGGGAAAAAATTATGAAACTTTGAAAGATGTGCTTCGCATTGCTACGCATCGAGAAGATATCGAAACATTCAAAAAAGTCGTCGGCATTATTTGGCGCCAACGTGGAACAAATCAGAGAAAGGACACTGCTAATGCTTTTATCGACGCGGTAGTTCCAGGATGCATTGGTCGGCAGAAAAGCAAGCAGTTTCTAGAAGAACTTGGAAAACTTATTGCAGATTATAATTTTCGCGGAACGATAAACAGTTGCCCTCACGAGGAGGCAAAGGAAAAATTGAAACGTTGGTTCGTTTCTGCCTACTACCGAGCACGAGTTGAGACAATGGATTGGCGCATGGAACTCGGTCCTACGAATTTGTCAGCAGAAGAGAAGGTGTCTCTGTTTAAAGAAATACTGGTTGCAGCTTTGAAGGAAGGGTCTGAACTAGTGGTCAAGCATGCTTTCGAGAAGGGTTCGGAGTTCTGTGGCGTTAAGGAAACGGAGATTGGCAAAATCATTGACGGACTTCAAATTGAAATTGATTACGTCCTGTACCATTCTCCTTTGTCGGTTATAACTCGAACCAACAAAGACGTTGATTTAGTTGAATACTTGCTGCGTAAAATACATCAATTTGAAAAAAACGAAAGCAAAATTGTGGAAATTATAAAAGAAGCGATGAAATGGTCGGTTCAATATCGAAGTTTCCGGATGCTCCGAGTACTCATTGCAGGAGAAGAGCAACACTTTGCTATTTTGGGAGAAATTTTGCAGGAAGCGAGCGCCGAATGTGTTCGGAAATTCATAGAAACCGTCAACAGAATTGCTGAATCGGCAGAGAATGCCAACTCGAGCGACGACAACAAAGAATTGCTCAAATTCATCATAGAAATGAAAAATAAGGTGACCTCGAAAATTGAGAATCGTGGATTATGAGACTTTTAATCATGGTTTATATAATTAGTTTAGTTAATTATTTTCACGAACAAAAGAAGACTCATGCGGGCGGAATCTTCATGCCAGAAGGACCGACTGTCCTAAAACTTTGTCAGCCAATCGGATTCAGTACTCAAAAGTTCGAAAGAAATGAGAGATAAAATAAGTCAGTTTTGAACAGTTAAAAGGGAGCTGATTGGTTAAGAATTTCCAGGCATTCGGTCTTTCTGTCATGCGATCAGCCACTAGTGATGAGCCTTGCGGGACTAGTATATATTTACAGATTTCAATATCGAATGTGTTTAGAGTTGAATTTGATGTTAGCTGATAATGATTTTAAATTTGGACAAATAAGATTCATTCACACGTTTAAGGGTTTCACAAAAACTCCTTGAAAAATGGGCTTGACGTGAAAATGCGCATATTGTAATACTTTTTGAGTTGCATGGATCTAATAGAAGGCTGGTCCAGGCGCCCACCGCCAGGTCATTGGGAGAGACTTTTCACTGGTAAACTTCAAGTTTGTTTTCAATTGAATCTTTTCCTCGAAAATATAACATTTCGTGATTTTTTGGTATCGAAACTAGTTTTTGTCAGAAAATTTTGGCAATGAGCCTATATCAGCATGTGCAATGGGTTCAGAGAAGTAACTATTGGTTGGAGCAGGGTAATGGACAGGCCCTTTTTAGAGTTTCGACCTTGCACCAACAAAATGTTCAACTTCTAAAAACTTGTTTTGAAATCTTCTGTTTCAAGAGTACAACAAATCTGTAGAGTTATTAGGAGCCAATATGAGCCTTTTTGGAGGCCAATTATGAGCCAATAAACTTTAAAAATCCCAAGCAAAAAAATACAGTTGTTAGTTAGAACCCTCCAAAAAGACATACATGTCGCTTGCAAATTTTTGGCACAAACGTCTCTGGCAGAAGAAGTACTTTTTTTTTATTAGTTTAACATTCGACACAGAGGCAAAGCGGAGCTACTGCAGATGAGCTTTCCACTACCCTTTATCTCATTGAACCCACAATATCAGATTTGGGAGAGTAGTTTTCGAGAAGAGTCAAAAATTTTCAAAAAAAAATGTCGCAAATTTTTTACTTTCTGGGCGTAGTCGAAAAGAGAAAAGTCGAAAAGATCCACAAAACAGTCAAAATTTTGAGTTTTCCGAGGGACATAACTTTACGTGCAGAAAAAATGGTCGTAGCCACTTATGCAGGGGAGCTATTCAAAACAGTTCTTTCCACTGAAACCAAAAACTCATATTTGAGAGTAGTTTCCGAGAAAATGAAAAAAAAAAAATGATTTAAAAAATTGGGTAAAATATTCCCCCATACTTTATCGAAGGCTCTAGAGAGAGGAGTCAAGTAAAAAGACTCTAGTGGAGCATGCACGCACACAGAGGAAAAAACGGTTTTTCAATTGATACTCCTTTCTTGAAAAACTGAAATTTTGGCAAAAACTGAAAAATTTTTCCAAAAAAAAAATGAAATTTCAACAAACAGATAGGTAAACGTACAGCCAACTTGAAAAGTGCAGAGGTGACTGCTGAAATTGTGTTGATCTTGAAATATCCCAAAAATAGGTCATTAAGCCGATGAAAAAATAGGCCGAAGAAATTTTGACAAGGAATTTTTCTAGCGAAAAAAAAAATCGAAGCAAATATGAAGGTAAGTAAAAATAGAAAAAGTGGACATAAATCAAACACTAAAAACAACATAAGAAAATACGCATAAAAACGACAATTCTAAGATGTGACAACTAAGCCGACAACAGACAAGCAGACATATTTTTCGCCAATAGTATTTTTTAGGAATATTTCCCGTTTGAAAAAAAAAAACAAGTCATGGTCTAACTCGAACCCAGGACCTTTCCCGTCCCAGGCATATTGGTTACCTCTAAGCTATGTTGACAAGGGACGCTAAGAAATTTGAATACATTAAGAAACAAGATAAAGATGAGTCCAGACGTCTAGATGAAACCTGTGGACAAACTTGTTTACGGGAAACAAGGTCTAGTACCCGGTTTCAATACCCTTGCTTATCGCAAGGAAATTAAAAACCCAGAGTACCAAATGAAATTTCTCAAATTGGCGAAAGATTTTATTATGAACTTTTAATGCATCTCAAATATTATTAATTGAATGAATGCCATCAAAAAGTTAAGTACACATTGAAATCTTATTCACAGAAGAGGACATATTCACGGTCCATCAACCGCTGATAATTATCTATTGCTATTTGTCCTTTCAAGTTATTCAAAATCCAACCGCTGCTATTTATCTGTTGCTATTTGGCCTTTCAAGTTCCTTCCAAATCCATTTTTGAATAGCCGATATTCCTAATAAGTAGCCTCATAGCTGATTGTTTGTACAGTGCGCTTCAGATACAATCTTTAACAGTAATTTCAAATTTCTCAGTGTTTCACCAGCTGGCGCAATGAAAATTTGACAGTAGAAAATGGACAAACCTTTTGAAGTAAAAATTTTTCCAACGGTGACATCTGATAAGTCAATTAAGAGCTCAAACGGAAGTCATTGAGTTTCTGAGAAATTAGTTTGCAGATTTTTTGGGTCTTTTTACTAATTCTGCCCAAAAATCGATATTTCAGTATCTTAAATTGGAACAAGTTTTTTTCAATCTGATTGGCCAAAATAAGCCAATCAAATTTCAGTACCATCTTAAAATTTGAATTAGAAATAAACCAAATTGGCATCAGGTTAAGAATGTTTTGTAAATTAGTCAAAATTATTTCAAATACGCTCAAACCATTAACTAAAATTTCGACCGTTTTCCAAGCTTGAGTTTCAATACACTTCGACTTTTGACAACTTTGCGGCAAATTGGATTTATCGAAAATTCTGTGCCGGTATCTATTTCGTTTTTTTTTGCTGTCAGGCTAGTTACCCACTATTTCTCAAAATATTTATTTGGTCACAAGACTTAAGCCCGTTACATATGTATTTCAAAAAACTAAATCAGTAGGCTTTTATTTTTCAAACAAAAATTTGCCAGGGATGTAGTCTGGCATCACAATTAAGACCTTGCAGCCATAAATCGGCCCTTTTTCGATAATTTTGACCAAAAATTTGCGTGTTTTCTGTGCGCGCTCCGCCCTCAAATTATATTTTCGAGGGAATGAAAATTTTGTATATTTTGTATATCTAGTATATTTTGGCGCCGAATGAAAACTCCCCAATATTCTGAATGCTATTTAAGTCTTCTTAAATAATTTCTGGTTAAAACTTTTTTTTTATAATTTATAAATTTCGAATTAACAAGATAAAATATTCAGTGTGTGAGTTCGTAGTTTGTGACGCAGTGCTGACTCAATTTTTAAAACTTGTCTCTCCCAAATTGGGTTGATTTATGCGAAAACAGATGGAATAAAAACCCGCTTACAGTTATAGCGTAAATATTTTGGTGCCCAAAAAACTAATCGAAATCGGCTATTTAAGTCAATTGAAAATTCAGTCAAAACTACTGCTACTAAAAAACTTTAATCAAAATGAGATTCTCTTATGTAGCCCAACACAGTTAGAAGGGGTATCTTCAAATTTGAATTCAAAATTTTTTTTTGTTTTGATAGTCAAACGAGGTACCAAATCTTTTTTCGTCTTCAGTCAAACCAATTTGTGAAAAACGCGCGTTTCGAAGTTCAAATCGCATTTGATTTGTTCGGATAATATAAATCTACGCTGCACGATTTCAATCTTTAAAACGTTACACTTATTGTTCATAGCTCCTCGAGCCGAAATTCAGAGCGAAGATTGAAAATCTTTTTAAGTTGTTTCGACTTCTGGTTCGATTGATAGCTGTTTTGGCTTCTGGGGACCCAATTTAATTCTCCAAACATCCAAAAAAAATCGAGTGAATCAAAAAAACCGTTTTCAAAGGTTCAATAATCTTCAATATTTTAGCTGATAAATTTTCACCCTACCCTTCGCTTTGCCCAAACAAAAGGCTATAGAAACATTCTGACAGAAACATTTTCTCCTTTTTCAATCAAACAACCGTGATATGAACATTGCAGTTTCATGCACAGTAAATTACTATATTATTGCGTATTTAGGAAACACATATGCGGAACGAGTATTTGTTCCATCTCGCCGCGAGTTCCGAACGAGGACAATATTAAAGTGGAATTTCGAACCGATCACCAGGAAAGAAAAACGGTTGTGAAAAGTTGGTTTCAAATACAAAATGAGTCAGATTCGACTGCTATCATTGTATTTTGCACGAAAAACGGCTTGGTGAGTTCTACTCCAACGCGGCAAAATCACAGCATCCTTGAAACAATCGAATTTGATACGAAACAAATTTTCACCAATGAACCGCTTGATGATTATCGAAATCTTTTTTTTCGGGGTGTGAATTTGACCATGTACTGATCATTTTTGAATGCGATACTAGCATACATGACGATCAAAAAGATATTTCGGATAGTATTTCAACTCAGGGACAAACTTTTGGACAAAATGTTCTGATTGCTACAACACGTGCCAGGAAGACACTTACCATTTTGGTGGCCAATGAAGAGCAGAAGCGGCAACTCGACATAATCAGGGAAGACGATCAACAACTGCTTGTTGCCCAGGTGATTGGCAACGAAGAAAAAGAGAAAGCAATTCTGAAGGAAAAGCTCAAGGGAAAAAATTATGAAACTTTGAAAGATGTGCTTCGCATTGCTACGCATCGAGAAGATATCGAAACATTCAAAAAAGTCGTCGGCATTATTTGGCGCCAACGTGGAACAAATCAGAAAAATGACACTGTTAATGCTTTTATCGACGCGGTAGTTCCAGGATGCATTGGTCGGCAGAAAAGCAAGCAGTTTCTAGAAGAACTTGAAAACTTATTGCAGATTATAATTTTCGCGGAACGATAAACAGTTGCCCTCACGATGAGGCAAAGGAAAAATTGAAACGTTGGTTCGCTTCTGCCTACTACCGAGCACGAGTTGAGACAATGGATTGGCGCATGGAACTCGGTCCTACGAATTTGTCAGCAGAA